GAGATTGATGAAGTTAGAAGGCACAACCTTCTGTACCCTCCTTTTACTTTCTGTTATTTAGATTAAATAAAGTAAAAATAGTATTTTCTGTCTGTTTTCTGACTTATCCATGTAATAAAAAATACCCCGAAAATAAAAGTTCTCCAAACGCCCTGCAAATTTAATATGATTTTTTCTGGAATATTTGAGAATATTTCGCACTGAGAACACACCAGGGGGAGCTGGCACCTGGCCACGAGGGTCCAGGGCGCGCCCCCTACCTCGTGGGCTCACGGTGGCCCCCCTTCAATTATTCCTGCACCCACACACTTCTTCTTCCTCCCAAAAAATTCACCATCCAGCTCAAGCACGAGTTCTAGCTCATTTTGCTGCCATTTTCGATCTCGTTGCTCAAAGCTCCATTCACAAAACTGCTTTGGGGGATTGTTCCTTGGTATGTGACTCCTCCAATGGTCCAATTAATTTTTGTTCTAGTGCTTTATTCATTGCAAATTTTTACTGCCTAGGTGACCCTGTTCTTGAGCTTGCATGTCAAATTTATATTGTCCCAAGTAATTTTAATGCATGATATAGGCTCTAGGCACTTGTGGGAGTAGTTGCTATCAATTTTGTTGAGTTTGATTCACTTTTATTTTGAGTTATTAAAAATTTTAGAAATTTTTCAGAAAAAGATGAAGAGATTTTTCTTGAGGGGCTCTTCTAGCCAAGGCTCTAAGGATAAACAAGCTAAGGAGAATGAAAAGCCCAAGTATAATCTTCCTCGTGTGGCGGAAGTACGGCCGTGTGAATGGCCTTGTGATGATTTCTTGAGAGCGGCCGGGATTTATGAAGACTTTTCTTCTTTGGCTGATAATGCGGGCCTCACCGACTTCCTCCACAACCAGACTGAACGGTATCTCTTACTCACCAATATTTTCGTGCAAAATTTCTACTTTTATCCTAAGAAATCACCTCCTTCAGTAGAGTTTCATTTATATGATGTGGCTAGGGAGATGTCACTATATGAATTTTGCACAGTTTGCAAGATATCCTTCGGGGGTAGCTTAGAGGAACCACATCGTAAAGATGTGGATGTATTTATTGATACTATTACTGTAGGGGAAACAAGAAAGGTTTCCGATGCAAGAATTACTAGCATACATTTTCCTGTTTTACGCTACTTTGCAATATTTGCTAGTCGATGCTTAATTGGTCGCGGAAACTGTGGAAACCTTAGTGTTTCTGATATTATTATTTTGTTCCATGCTTTATTTCGTGATAACTCTGTTAGTATGGGCGCTATTATTGCTAAACGATTAAGCCTGAACTGTACAAAGGGCCCCATCTTTGGAGGTATCTATGTTGCACGCCTTGCTAAACATTTCAGGATACCTATTAGGCATTTTGAGAAAGAGGAAAAATTGTTGCCTCCTACTTTTCTAGATTATAAGAGCATGGTAGCACATGAGTTTATTGTTAATAATGATGATAAGATGCTTTTGTATAATTTGAGATTTCATAAGAAACACCGTGAGACTATTATCTTGTCTGTGCCCTCTTTGTTTTATTTAACTGCGGGCCCTCACCTCGTCTTGCCGGAGGCCGTCTATGCGCTCCGTGGCCAGACATCAGCTCCAGAGCCTGAGCTAGAACCACCACTTGACCCTTATCGACCATCCTGTTATCAGTGGGACTCGGAGGAGATCACCAGCCAGTGGCAATATGATGACACTCCTCAGTACACTAGAGAGAGTAGCCATGATCCATGGGCATAGACCAACTTAGGCCAAAAGCCTAAGCTTGGGGGAGTACGTATTTCTCACCGACATTACATTCATGTTCACACACTCACTCTAGTTGTCGGTGCTCATACTTTTTCAATGTACTATCCATGCTAGTTTAATTTCTTTTTCTAGTTTTCTTCTTGTGTGTTTGATAAACCTTAAGAAAAACCAAAAAAATAGTTAGCTTACTTTCCATGCTTGTAGTAGTAATAATTAAAAGAAAATCCAAAAAGATTTCTCGTTCTTCTTTTGCTTGTTGGGAGCTTTCCCATGTAAATTGTTTTATTTCTTTTCTTTTCTTTGGGAGTCGAGAGGAGAAGACCATAATGAAAATGTTCAGTGGCTCTTATATGCATGATTGTTGATTTAACTAAGAGCTCATATTACTTTGTTTTCTCCCTTGAATTGAATTCTTGCAGATTCCAGCTTAGTCCAATGCACATGCAGCAAACTCACGTAGGACCAGCTCCAGCACTGACAACTGCCTCTTCTCCTCTACTGCATTCAGATAGCTCACCACGTGATTGTTGTTGTCAGTAAGCATCTTAAGACTGGATCTACGTCTGCACCACTGCCTCAGAGCTGCTCGAACCCTCCTCATCTTGAAGTTGATGAGCGAGGCCGAGGATTGGAAAGGCCGAGTGCCCCTGGACCAGCCTTCATGAATGATTTCTCTAGCTTCTTCCACTTCAAGCCAAAATTTTCCATGCGGAACAAGCTGCTTCTTGGCATGTTTTTCTGAAACTACATGAGGAGGGGTGTGTGATCAGAGGTTACAGCCGTCACACCGGAGGCAGTCGTTCGAGGGAACTTCAGGTTCCAGTCAGCATTGACCAACACACGGTCCAACCTAACCAGTGTTGGTGAGGCTCTCTTGTTGGTTCAAGTGAACGCCTTGTTATCAATTGGTATGTCGTCCAAACCATTTTCTCTTATCCACGAGTTAAACTGCTCCATTAGGCTCCAGTTGATGTTGCCCCTAGACTTCTCATGCGCAAAACGATACATGTTGAAATCATCCAGAACCATCCACGAGGTGTCAACTGCTGCAGCGCAACTAGTGACCGCCTCAAAGAAAGCCGGCCTCCTTGAATTTTAGCATGGTGCATAAACTGCGGTTAGGAAAAAACAGCAGTCACTGGTTGTTGAAGACATCCGAATGGTAACTTGATACTGATTTGTTGCAAGAACTTGGCCTGTGATGTAGTTGGTGTCCCACGCGACCAGTATACCCCCTGCAGCACCATCAGAAGGCATGGCAGCATAATCTTTGAAGACTGAAGACAAAAAGGATCTCAACTTGAAATGTGAGAGGGTGGGCAGCTTGGTTTCCTGCAGACAAACAATGCTGGGGCAGCAAGTGGTTATAGTGTCACAAACCAGCGAGCACTTGTCATCATCTCCAAGGCCGCGAACATTCCAGTTAAGAATCCTCATGATGCAAAAGACAGCGCACAACCCAGAGAAGAAAAACAGCTAACAGAAGCATGCGTGTGCACAGAGTGATGCAAAAGGGAAGCTGCATAGAGATTGACTGGAACTCATGATAAGAGACTCGATACAGACTTTGACCAAACGAGACAGAAACTCGTCTACCGTACTTGCTACAGCACAAACTACGACTACAAGCTCCGAAGGAGACACTAGTAACATGACATGGAAAGCTAAAACTAGCCCAGAAGGGCAGGCAGATAACTGAGGCTGGCATGACCAACCTAGCCCGAAGGCGTGCTTTGTCCTGAAAAGGAGGATTACACATAGGAGTTGGTATCCTATCAACAACAATATTATAAGTATTTCCTTACATGCACTCCCATTGAAAAGTTCTACATGCACAACCTCCCACGCCCGCTCGCATGCTACATCAGATGCCAATGTGCCAAGGTACTGCGCCCAAATTCAAATGTGTAATCTTATATCCCATTCTATATTATATTGTATTATATATAGCTAAAAGAGTGATCCCCACTATTTCTAATGTTATCAACATGCATGCTTTCACATCATCAAAACTGTTGTGGTCGTTAGATTTACTACCTTGACTCACTATCATCCCTTCGATCTATGCATGAGAATCCTCTACCATGCAACATGCATTAGTGGATTCTAAGTAGGTTTTAGATCAGTATTGCATTTAAATTGTGACATGCACTACAACCCACTACATATTTTTCCTAGCCATGCAACCATGCCACATCAACAAGCCATGTATGCAAGTTATAAGTTATACTCCATGCGATGCTGCCACCTCATCATTTCATGCATGTAAGTCATTGGTTATATATTATTATTTGCATTAGATTTTGTGTCCTCCTAGAGATGATATGTGTGTTGGGCGCTTGGAGCATACATGTATGGCTACCTTCACTTGTTTATTAGAAACAATACTCTTTTCCTCTGTTGCTAAAAATCTACGACCCACTATTTCTTCTAGCTATGCAACCATGTTACATCAGCAAGCTATGCATATAAGTTACAAGTTATATTTTTTGCATTAGCATATCCATTGGCACTGCCATGCCACATCATTAGTTCATGCTTGCAAGTCACCCGTTAATTTTTTTTTTTTTTGCACTAAACATTGTGCTCTCATATATGTGTTGGGCACTTTGAGCATACCCACATAGGTGATCCTTCACTCTTTTTAGAAATGCCACTCTCCTAACTGTAATCCAATCTTTATTCTCCTTTATACATCGTTTTGTTATATGCTTCATATTTTTCTTCATATTTTTGAAGGGCAAATCAAGAATAGTGTTACATCTTAATTTCATTAGTTTTAGTTATTTGTGTAGCACCTAATTATGCATTTCTTTGAATAAGATTACCGCGTCAACCGCACAGGGTATCATCTAGTTAGACAGAGAGATGATGTACCCAAGTGCACCCAGCAGCTCTGCCCCTTCCATCCTTGCATTGCATGGTGCGCGGGTTGCTACTGAGAGACATTTCTGTGAAATGTGAATAAACACTTTACCGATTTGGTATGAGAACGGTAATCTCGATGGCAGGAAGCATGTTATAATAATAGTTTCACTTTGATGCGTCAAATATTCCAGCTTTGTTATGACAAAGGCAAATGCTAGGTAAATAATGGCAAGCAAGAGACCTCATCCGCACTATGAGAAGTACAGACAAACTATGGCTTTACAAAGATGGGACCAAATAGGTGTGATTCTCAGACTGCAACCGTCGCTCCGTCAGAAACCATGCTGGCAAAAATCCTAGCCGAAAGCCTCATTTTTTAAGTGCATTCATCCTGTCTCTCAGGTAATACAGCTTAGCTCTCCTGACTTTCTTCCTGTCCAAGATCTTCATTTCTTTGATGTTTGGTGAGTAACTGAATGGAAAAGAGAAAGTCGCATCAGAAATATAATCCAAGCAATACTTCATAGCTAATTAGGAGAAATACATGTGGCCATTCAAACAACAATAAACTTAAATAATCATAAATAATGGGAAGCTCGGGGCAAGCTCAAATCAATCTAGCTAGTACTCCCTCTGTTCAGAAATATAAGATGTTTTTGATATTTCAATATGGACTACATACGGACAGAAATGAGTGAACAAACACACTAAAATGAGTCTATATACATCCAAATCAGAAAAAAGTTGGAAAATATTATAATAGTGGACGGAGGGAGTATCATATATGCTGGCAAAGATGCAGGGGTTATATGTAATCATACGTCGATATCTTTCAAGTTTAATTCTAGTTATGCTAGGTCTAAATATTACAAGTTGAATAAATACATATAACTGCAGAACAGAGCACAAAGATCCTGAGAATCAAAATAAAAAAACATATAAACTGCTACATGAAGCATTCTTTGAATGTATTTGTTTCCACAGAAAATGCAGAAGAAAGAAAAGGCCACAAGGTCAGAACAATTGGGATTTGAACATAACCGGATGACGTGTTTATGGAACTACAACCTCCACTCCGAACAGGAAGCTAAAAGGGCACAAGCAGTCATGTCAATCATTCCACAAAATAGCCAAAATGGATCATATGTGCCTACTTGGTACCAGAAACTAGCTGTGCCCATCTCATCATTAACTTACTTGAGGGTCATTACCTAAGTATGTACCATAGCATGGTTCAGAATATAGTATGCATGGATTTAGAACAAATGGAAGGACCAGATGAATCTAGTTTGATTGTTCTCATCGGCGAATGAGAAACTAGAGGAACATAAGGAAGTCAGCTGTTGGTTATCTAGCCTAAACAGGAGACAGGGGATGGGAGAGTGACAAGATAAAACTAGCAAATGTGGGAGATGGGGAAGAGTGAGGAAAACAACTACTCCCTCCATTCACAAATATAAGATGTTCTAACTTTTTTCTGAATCAGATGTATATAGACACGTTTTAGGGTGTTTGTTCACTCATTTCAGTCCGTATGTAGTCCATATTGAAATATCCAAAACATCTTATATTTGTAAACGGAGGGAGTAGCAAATGGGGAGAGTCCTCCCACAAGTTATCCCTTGGGCCTCTCCCCCAACATCAGCAATACCAGCATGACAAAAACTTTACTGCCTGAGCAGTGAGCACAGTTTTCTCAGTTCTGCAAACATCCAACTACATTTCTCACGCAGGAATTACACATCTATAGTTTCACTGGCCTTAATTTATCCGGGGATATAGTTAGGTATTTTCTTCTTGAGAGAAAGGATATTGTAAGGTTACTCACAAACAAGGGACAAGAACTCCCTGTCTGATATCCTAATGGACAGGGAGAAGTAGCCCACTAAGAACATGATGTTTAGTGGTTGTTGAATTGTTGCCAGATTTGAATTAAGGATATCACAGAATCAAGAGGTACTTCAATTTCAGCATGATATGTTCCAAGACAAAGCAGTATAAATATTTCAAAAAAAAAAATGAAGTAGAAGAGCACATGTTTGGTTTGACTTACAGTGGAAAGACGGACTCGACTCCCACACCAGCTACTAATCTACGCAATCTGAAGGTTGTATTTATCCCAGCATTGCGCCTTGCTATCACAATCCCTTTCAATGTAGACTCTCGCCGTTTGTTCTCAGGAACTTGCTGTTTATTCACAGGATCAGTACCAGAAATGTATCTGGGCAGCGCTAAAGCAGGAGCGTGAAATGCTATACCAATCTCATCTGAATGATGCATCCAGGCTGCACATCAGGAATCTCCCTCTCCGAACGGACCTTTTCAACCGCCTCTTTGTTCAAGATCTGCAAAACCAAACAAAGAATATAACAAGCAATTTTATGCTTTTGCGGCAACATTACTGCTGCTGGATGTTATATAGTTTCGTGCAAGTAACACTAAGTTTACATTCATAATGTGCCTGGCAGTCTTGTCGGGCCTCTTGAACTTGATGCGTGGGGGGTGCTCAACCGCAGGGGAGCTGGAATCGTCCTCGTCCGAGGCAACCTCAACAGTTCCCACCGTCGACAAACTCCTCGTCATGAGAACCTTTGCGCAGAAACCAGAGGAGGCAGGAACACCATCACGGGAAATGAACCAATTCTGCACGCAAAGAAATTGATCCAGATGACATGACCTGGACGAATTCGAAGAAGAGACAAAAGAGGACAAGAATCCTACCCCAGTTGGAGGAGTGAACCCGCAAGGCCTGAGGTATTTGATGGCCGAGGATGGCGGGGTAGCCCCCGGCTGAGTGGCTACAGGAGCAGCAAATTCCAGGAGCCTCGCCGCAGCCCCGCGGTTTCCGGCTCGGCAGACATTCCGGAGCAAAGATTGCATCCTGAGGCCCGTACGCCGCGAAGAAATTGCACAGTAAACCAGGGGCGGATCCAGTATAGTTCATGGGTCATAATTTTTGCGAGAAATCGAAGCTAGTGGGTACTCCACAATGCTGCTGTGCTGGTAACTGGGTCAGATCCGGATACAAACATCTGACATCAGGGTTCAGGGTGCTCGGTTATGGACAGGGGAAAAGAAAGGGAAGAGAAGGGGCGTACCAGGTGGTTGGATGCTCGTCGCCGGCGAAGGGGCAAGACGAGGAGGGCGGCGCCGCCAGGAAAGAGGGGGAGAGAGAGGTGAACGGGGAGAGGTGGTGAACGAACAGACTTACTTCAGGAGATGAGCCAGCCCAGGCCCAGCGGGAAACAGCGACCCAGCTCCGGCAGGAATTGGCCCGTTTATCTATTTTCCATTCTTTCTTTTCCCTACAATCTTTATGATTACTAGCAAAAGAGACCACGCGTTGCAACAGAAGGAAACAATACGACACGCACCTAACCCAATAATCATGACTCAATACCCCCAATAGATCCATA